TGGATTGAATAGGTAATATGAGATCATCGTATGCATATGATAAACCACTAAGATGGTTTATTAAATGCAACATACAAATGAGTTAACGGATATTATTTGATTATTGAAGATATGAAAGTATTGCATTTATGTTTATGCACATAAATAAAATGAAATCCAAAACTATATTATTGTTTATAGTTGTTTAAAATTTTGTATACAGTTTGTGATGTTCTCAAGTTGTATTTTTTTTTTTAAATCTTCGTTATTAACTATAAGCTGATTTGAAAATGTCTAATTTTTACTGTAAAGATATACTTACAGACTGGTCATGGGACCAGTCTGTAAGTATGGTATTTCTATGGAGAAATGTTATCAAAATCAGATCAAAAGTTTAGTTTTTAAATCAAAATATCTTGTTTTGCTACAATTGCAGCCAGTTTTTTTGTGGGACGTAATCATAATTATTATTCCGATAAAATAAAATAGACTCAGCATATAACAAGAGGCCCTACCCATCGAACGTACTTGATTAACACGAATCTATACCGAAGTTAAACGTATGTATGTTCACCTACGTATTTAAAAGTGGGACAGCATGCAATTATATTAACGTACAATGTGATAGATGTATGAGAATATAAATTCTTTGCGCATCACATTGTTATATAATACTATAGTAATAAATGGTACCGCAATAGCAATATATGTACTTGAGTAATTATAATGTACCTTCTAAATCGTGATTGTGCATAATGTCATATTGCAAATGTACTATTATATCTGTAAGTCACATCATCGCAAATTATATAAAATAGAGAAAGCAAAGGGAAACGTTTAGCTTCCGAAGCGGATACGGAACTGTCGTTGTCAGAGGAACGGACACTTGACCATGTATACCGCCTGCACTGTATGTAACTAGGCGGTGACATTTCAGGGTCGCTTGATCTCAGCCGTGTCACTCTCTCGCGTGTTCAAAATGCAACGACATAATATGACATTCTGTTAATATGCATTTTTAGAACAAAATCCATCCTTACTATATACTAAATGTTCTCACAATGTTTAAGTAACACGTTTTCTTTAACCTATATCAACCCATATGACATGGTTTTGATGATGTTAGAATATAATATATCACAAGACTTTTCTATCGTTAAAGTGTCACAACTCTTAGACTATTCCAATTCGTGTTTCTACCGTGAAACTGTTGTGTTTGCATGTCTGTGTTTCGGTTTGAAGGGTGGACTACGGTAGTGAATTTACAGGGTACAAAGGCATAACACCTTAGTTCTCAGGTATGGCAACGCATGGGCAAAACAGAGTATACTCTATCCATGATACTGTTCATGTCTATAGACAGCAGTTACTACTTTCCATCAGGTGAGCCGTCAGCTTGTTTGCTATTCTAAGTTGAATAAAAAACTATGAGAAAAAGCACTATACAACAGAGCAAGAAAAAAAAAATACTCGAGAAAAAAACTATTAAAGTTTATATTTTTCTTGATTTATCATTGATTACCTATTAACTATATTTATATACGGGTAATTTTAGAGACTTGAAACTTGAATAATTTCTTTTTACAACTAAGACATCCACGAAGATATGTTTTCATTGGCATTATCACGTACATGTATGTGTTCAGAGGCACATTAAAAAGCTAATTACATATCTCTGAGTTCCATTTAAAGCATGTTGAAATTCTTAATATACAAAAATTGCATATCACGAAGCTCGTTCACGTTAATCTCCGAAAAAAGACGATAGATTTTAATGAAATTTTATAGATATGTATTGCTTGCACTTATCTCGTAAGACTGTTTTGTCCAGATAGGAAAAATGGAGGTATTACTATTCATTCATTATATAAAAGATTGATGAAATGCGCAATAGAAGATGTGAAAGTTTGTGGTGCTCCATGTTGAGGATGTGACATGATTGAATAAACAGCAGAATGGAAAGTGAAATAAATAAATGATGTGAATAAGTGAAATGATATAAACTATATATTCAAATAATGGAAAAAATGTACGGAGTTGAAATTTAATAATAAAAGTATTACCCTAAGCATGTATACATATAACTACATATATATTACATAAGGTAAAACCTGTACCGGCATTGTTATAATAAAGAAGTAAATAAATAATATAATAACTAAATCAGGTATAATTTTTACCTTTAGTTATTCTAAAAATAAGGATTTTACCTGTTTTAGATTTTATATTATCTTTACCTTATACTAATAATATTTTTATTTACTAATTACAATTATATATTTTAATTGTGCGAGCGAAAACAATAATTGATTACTTGCATCTTGTGGCGCGTGACTGGAATATGTTCACCAACTACGTTAAAAAGTAGCCTATATCCTTTTCCATCCCATATATTACATGAATACCAAACATAATAATTGTTTAAGACATTACAGCACTAAGAGGTAACAAATAAACTCACTTTTACATTTATAATATTAGTAAGGATTTTAATCCGGCATTATTATACACGGTAGACTTGTTTTGTAGGTATACATCTCAGAAATAGATTGATGTTTGACCTTTTCTTAATGAGATTCAAATATTTTATAAGTAAAACCATAGTTACCGTGGAATCATCTCGATGTTTATGTGCCTATAATGTATTTATTTTTTGAAAATTTCCTTTCCTTAGGGAAAAAACTGGTATAAGACTATTACGGGAGTAAACTCTATTGATTGTAAAAGAATAATTATAAAGACGAACTGATAATTTTCTCCTTTTTATGGACATACTAACTACGGATAGAACTAAACGTCATATAATTAAACGTCTTTGATATAAAATACAAACAAAAATTTAAAAAGAATATTTATAAAATTATTAATTAATTTGTACATTTTGTTTATTGGGTCACTGTAAATTATAAATTGCTTAACTAAAAAACTAAACTAAAAAATAACTAATTTACATTTCAAATTAACATTTTTAGGGTTCTGTATGGGCTCTTACCAAACGAGTATTATTTGTAATAGAAGACTAAAATTTTATGTATAAAAAGCAAACAAATGGCGAGGATTTTATAGAGGGGCTTTATAAAATCCTCGCCATTTGTTTGCTTACAATTTTCAAAGGTTTTCAACTTCTAATAGATTGTACTTTTCTTGGTTTATCTACGTAGTTTATGTTAATATTACAGGAAAAATGGAATTTCATAACTTCAACTAGTACAGTTTTTTTTAAGTAATTCAACAACCTCCACCAATAAATTGTAGTTATGCGGTAAAGTTTTTATTCGTATTATTATATTATTTCATAGTAAATTTTAATACTATAGAATAGATTGATACAATTATCATTGTCGCCCACGTAAATTCGCTCTAGAGAGGCAATATGACAATTGGTTGAACTTGTTGAGTCCTTAAGCCATTAAGAAGTAATAAACTTATTTAAAAATGTTAATAAAGATTATATAGGATAGGAGGGATTCCTCAATTCTCCAATTCGACTTCACCATTTTTTTGCCCGAGTCATATAAAATGTTACATTCAAACACGTCATCTTTAAGATACTGCTATGTTGTGCATTTTTTTTAAAACCACATCGTCTAACATAACCCGTTCGTCTTATATAATATGTTGGAATAGCATCTTGTTTCTGTGTTAGTTAAATTTAGATATTTCTTATAATTTTGCAAATTAATATCTAGGATATAGTGAACAGATACATAAATGAATTTTATAATTCGTGTCGAATTGTTAATGAATATATAATCAATATTATTAATGAATAATATTTGAATAATATTGTATTATAATAACCTACAATACCATGTAGAAAAGGAATTGGTAGCAATAAGGTCTAGCGGCCCCATTGCTAGTAATATACCCTATCAGGTGGAGCTCCACGCGGTATCCCCTGGAAACCATTTTGGTTAATTCTTTATGAAGTCAACTGACCTGATTTCATCCTCACTTATTTGTCTCTGGCGCACTGGTGACCTGCCAGCATATAACGATAGCGCAGCCAGGGTTACTATTTCATTATTACCCATTAAAAAAAACTACAATATCGTTGCCAATCAGAAGCCGACAAAATGTCGGCCCGTGGAGGACAGAAGTCAAAGATCTAGAGCCAGTGGTTCATTCCGATCTTTCAGCGAAACAACTGATCTTCCATTCAGCAGTAGTATCTAGAAATATTTTGACAATTAGGTGAGGCAGATCTGCATAATGTGGCATTTTCCTTAGAAGTTAGGGCTGCAAACAATTTATTTTGATCACTTCGCTCTTGAGTTGTTTTGTATCACCTTCGATAATATTTTAATCAACTTATTGGTAGCGCATTGTGCACTATTGTAGGGCAAAGACTAACTACATTTATTAAAACATACCTATGAATTTTATTGAAAATGATCGTATTTGAGAGTTTACTGCATATAATATAGTCGGCCACAACATCTATTATATTACCATCATCATATCAGCCGTTAATTCTCCACTGCTGAACATAAGTCTCCTTCATAAACGGGGATTTTGCCAGTAGCTGCCACGCTTGGTAGGTGGATTGGCAACCGTAGTTAGGCTTTTAAAGATGGTTTAAGAAGGATACCGCTGTTCATCCTTCGCAGGGCCGTGCCTGACGGGCGTTCATTGCGTGCACCGCACGCAGGCGGCCGAAATTAAGAGGCGGCCAAATCGTTACAAGTTGTTTACTGGGCCGATTTCGGTTAACCAAAAACTGATTTTTTTTCCCGGTTTGATGCCCTGTGTATAATAATAAACATTAAAAATTAAAGTAGTTTTTTTTAATGTTATCCTGGGGGCGGCCATACAGACTGGCACGCAGGCGGCCATATACCCAGGCACGGCCCTGATCCTTCGACCATAAGTTTCCTTAATCGCCTCTTACAACATCTATGGGAAAGGAAGGGGAAGAAATATTCTATGCAGGGACAACGCAACATAGAATAGGCCACCTCTTCGCGGCGCGACTTGTATGATATTTACGGAAAATTTTAAGATTATAATTTTAATTACAGGATAGTGCTGTTGGCATGTGTGGCGTGGGTGAATGCACGGCCACAAGAGGAGGGCGAAGCTCGGGCCGCTCCATCCAGAGGTCTGCTCAAACGTGGTCTAGCGAAAGGGAAACAAACTACAACGACAACCACACAAGCTCCACAGGTAAACTGACAATACGAATATAAACCAATAAGCATATTGTGAGCCCGTGCTCCGTATTATGAGCTATCAAATGTAAAAAGGTTTTTCAAAATTAGTAGTTCGAGATATTAGAACGCTTAAACAAACTAAACTTTTTTGTTTTATTATATTAGCATAAATATAAAAATCCTGTGTTATGATGTTCGTTCACGCTATAATCTCCTAAGCATCATTAATGATTATCGATTTGAGGATGTAATCTAAATCATTTTAAAATGCATACTTACTAAATATAACATACTAAAATTCGATGTCGCTAAGCATTATCACGTTACAATTTGGATATCGGATAACCGGTCAGAAGTACCTACCAACCTGCGGTTTCGCAAGTAGGTACCTTTAAATGTATCGGAAACTATAGATATAATGAATTTGTGTGACCTTCAACAGCCTTAGGCTTAGTTTATTAATGTCGAATAATAATTACATATTATTAAAATTGACTATCTAAGATCAAATTAGAAACATGAAAAACTTTTACTGCTTTATAATAAGAAACATCTAATAATAGTTTTTCAGATATCTATATAATAAAAAAGAGATCTGTGATAGACAAAAATAATGTATAATAATTATGACACTACTAGATGATATTCTACTAGTAAAATTAAATATTATTGTCAAAAAACACATAAATCGACAAATGATGAAAAATTTAAGTGTATTATTATTATTAACTTGATCTTGAACATGCTGCGATTAGGTATATTCAGCAATTAAAAATGTTTATTGTGTTTTGTCTCATGCTGGACAAAAATTTGCTGCATTAAAACAATATCCCAAGAATGCTAATAATTTTAACCTTACCAACCTTCAAAGTCTTCTGAAAATCGATGATGGTTTTAGACAAATTGAACGGAGGAGTGGCGGACGCTTGTTCATATCAAGGTGTCAGTTTAAGTTACTCAGCGATTTCTCACGCCGATATACAGTTGGAACAGCTTGCACTACGTAATGTTTCCTTTCTCAATTAAATTGAATTACACACTAACGACGTCAAATTAGGCATTAGAAACCTTTCGATAACAATTAAGAATGTTTCGCAGAAATATAATTACGTAAAACTTAAAACAAAATAGCCTTCGAATGGATTAGCAATTCATAATAACGTTTTGGAATTTAATGTAAAAAGGATATCGTTATATAATTATGACTACTGTAAAATAAATACGCTGTTGTTAAGCAATTTTAAAAGATTTTAAATTCTTATATAGATATAATGTTAAGAATATAATATCGTCAACAATATTGAATTGCTTTTAATGTCGAGGATTTACTTCTGTGTTTTTATATTCATTTTGTCATTATGAAGTAGTTATATTATTTTCCGGAGCAAAATTTGAAATTGATCCACATTTATATATTCATCGTATATAAATTGCTGTGTGCTTAGATGTACACGATATTTAAATTTTAAACACACCAGTGAAATTGATAGTCAACTCGCGTTCTTTTTTTAAATTAAACAACACGACAATGTTTTAACAAAAACATTGGATTAGCATAGGTATTATATTAAATTGCGAGTTTAACAAAAATTTACATTAAGAATGTTTGAAAAAGTAACAAATCAGAATAAACATTTGACATTGGTGTGAATGCATTCAATGCAAAAAGATGGTAGGTATATCGTATTCAAAAATCGAGTTTCGCAAATAAGCCGTGGTAGCATGGGTACATCTGGTTCAAGGCGGGTGGGACGAGCGGTTGAGCATCGGGTCACCTTCGCGCATGACCTTTGCAAGACCTTCCTTTCCTCTGAGGAATTTCTACCTGCACGCTTACCGATGTCACTGATCCGATCAAACTCAAACATTGAACCGGGCAAATTCTTAAAATTGACACGTAGAATTTTCCTGGGAAATATTATCAATATCTTAGGTCTACCTGTCGTTCGTGAAAAGTTTTAATTTTATAATAACTATATCTCAAATTAAACATTATATATATATATATATATATATATATATATATATATATATATATATATATATATATATATATATACAGCTTTTTACCTGCCATTGCTGAACAAAATTTTTAAGTTAAACCTTTACGAATACAAATTGAAATTGATCCCATTAAATCCCCTTATGTATTGAATATTTACTATATACAGACATCACTCAACTACAGTTTTATAATATTAGTAAGATAATATTAACTCATTGACTAGTACGGTTCACGTAACACTCGATTTCCGATACCTCATTCAACTAGCATATATTCTAATGCATTTGCTTTTCACATTGTATATTAGTGTAATTATACTTGTGAGGTAGTCAAATAACTTGTAAGTCATGACCACTATAGTGTTCAGAATGCTAACAACATAGTGGGCCGGGTCGTTGAGCTTCCTAAATTATTGTTCAGACGATGATAGCTGGCACATATGTCATATTCGTGATTGGGTGCTGTTTATAAGGATTGGTTTGCTACTACATAAAAAAAATACCTTATAAAATAATTCATAGATAAAATAATATAGCTTATTTTAGTTATTGTACCCATACAAATAAGAAATGATTTGGTAAATAAATAAAAAAAATAATTACTGGGTTTCTTTTGGGCTCTTCTTAGCAAATAACAACATTCCGAATCCCAAGATAGAATCATAAAGAAGTTTTAAGAGAGCTTGTAAACAACTTTATTTAACGATTATATCTCTTTTATTTTATTCATAACACGGATTTCACATAACATGCGTGTGTCCGCAGTGTTATGAATTAATTTTATTTACCATTATCGGAGTTTGTAGAAAATTTAATTTGACACACGCAGTTTTAGTATCTAACTCACACTATTACGATCTATTTTACTTTGAACTCTTTTATTTAGTTTCAAATCAGTCTTTGAATTATAAGAAATTGTTATTTTTTCTATGCGAATCTAAAACTATTATATAGCCGCTATGCTCAAAGTTTAGCTAAATGTAATCACAGTTAAATACCACTGTTGGCTTCTATATTATCTCATACATTGCTTAGATTGGATAAAGGACATCACTTCGAGAATTAAACATGTTCAAACTTTTTACGGTCAACCAATATTTAAAATACTACTATACTTGTTTCAGTATAGTCATTAAAATATATGTACATAATTATTTATAGGAGGAGGCAGAATATGATGAAGACTATCCAGCGGAGGGCGAGGAGCCTTCAACAGAGGCGCCACCATCGTCTACGGAAGGAAAGAAGTTAATCGGCGGTGGAGTACGGCCCTTCAGAAGCAACACTGACTTATTAGCGATTCTGAAAAGAAAGAGAGCTGAAGCAGCTGAAGGTAATGTCTTATATAATTACGAATACTAGTTGTTTTTTACGACTTCGTCCTTATGCATTGGTATATAAAGTAAAGTGCACTAATTAAGTGTATTAATTAGGATATAATCTATCTAAATGGTACATAGCAGTAATGTCTTCATTATGGATTTGCCTTGTTTTAATACTCAAAGCTATTCAAGTCAAGTCATTTACTGGGCTGCACATGTTGCACGTCTCTGGAATTCACTTGAAGATGGCACAATCATTAAAATCCTTTAATGCAATTATCATAAAATTATATTCTGTAACTCCTTTTTCATTGAGCCATTTGAATACATATATCTATGTATTTGTTATTTATATACGTATTTATGTGTGTAGGTTTATTATTATTTACATATGTAGGTGAACACAATTATGTTTTATTGTATATGATATATAGATATTATTGAGTTTATTTTTAGCTGTACGGTTTTTACCCTTGTACATTCTGGTGTTTTCTTTCATCTTCTGAAAGGTTGACTGTAAGAGATCAGATTATATGTCTGGGATAAGTCTGCCATTGTATAATAAATCTGTGTCTGTGTAATGTGCCCAATATAAATTATGTGTAATAAAGATTTTACAATACAATACAATATTATCTAATTTCATTCTGATGTATTCAATCCTTTAAACTAAATCATATATAATAAATATGCAAACTTTTAAATATCCAAACGTGTTTACAAACTTTCACATTCATAAAATTGGTAGAATTCCTGAATCTATTTGTTTGACATACTCGTAAGATTACTATATTCTACACCTATCTTTGCAGCTTAAAAAAGTCTAGTCTATATAAATAAAATCAATTGTCGAATGTATCATTATCGTAACTGCATCACTTCAGAAAGGATGCACTTACAAAAATAAGAGTGAGACAAAAGTAAAGGAAAAATTTGGTCTCATTTTCCATGTTGAAGACATCTGTGCGAAGCCGGGGCTCGTTAATAAAATCATATATATTCAACGAAATGCTTTTCTTTTCAGCCAAACTTCACGGACAATCGAGCTCTGCTGCCGCCTCGTCGCAGGACATTGTAACAGAAGCACCAGCAAAATCTAGCTACAGTAAGTTACATTCTTAATCCTAAAACAAACATAAAAAATAAATAGCTGTAATCTTTAAAATTCAAGCCATATGTTAATAAAATAATTATACTTATTTATTTATTTATTGGAAAATCATTTATTAATGTTTAAAATAGTACGAATGGTTCATCTATTACAACCATGTTATGGCTGATTTAAATAATTAATAATTATATTTAATGCTTACTGATTAAATTTCTGAATAGAAATGATATAGATAGCAAAAATAAAAATATTGCTACTCTGATGAATTCAAAATTGTTGTTCGTAAAAAAATATTCTTTTCGTTACCGTATTTTTTATTTTACGCAAGGTAAGAAGCGGTTCAACAATCAGCCGGCACGAGAGAGCAACAATGAGGAAGCGCCTGTTGCCACAAAACCCAGTAGAGGACGGTTTGGACGGCGTAAGTTATTTTTACTATATTTCACAGCAAACAATAACAATTTGAAACGAATGACCATTCAGTTTTTTAAACATTTTTTATACTACGAGAATGACAAACAAGCTCATGGGCCACCTAATAAAAAATGTATTATAAATTCAACAAAATATTTGTAATGACTTCAGTTATTAGATTAACTTTCTATTCGAAACATTTCAATAAAATTGTTTTACAACCAAATCTGTAAAAATATCAGACGTTTATTACAACAATATCATTGTGGAATATAAATATGCTCACGACTGTAATTCCTGGTGAGCCAGTCAAAAGTATTACTATTGCCATTTGGATTAATTCACATAAAAAAAAATCTGTTGCAGCATCATCAAGATCTGTGTCGGAGCCCGAGCAAGAAGAACAAAATGAAGCTGCCGCTCCCATCTCGAGAGGTGGCAGAACGTTCCCTAGGCGAGGCAGCAACTAACTTCATAGCCACGTCTTCTTAAATAAGCCCTCTTAAATACTCCTTTGGTATCATTCAATCGAGGATACAATACAATCTTCATACCATAACATAATTTTCTGGCGTCTAACGTTTCAACTATTTTTAATATAATAAATTCTCCAAATGTGATTTAAAAATGAATGAATTAATTATTTCTTAAAAAAAAGATGATAAATCTAGAATGTACAAAGATCAGAATTTTAACAACAACTGTCAGCATACAACTACAAACTTTCTACACACTCCCTTTAGCTACTTTTCGTCTACATTATATGAGCAAATGATATAATATAATTCTATAATGATTTGACGTACATATGTATGTAAGCAAAATTTTGCTCAACTAATACCAATGTTTGGATGGATTATAAATATTAATTAAAAATTCTTTTGAGCATAATAATGAAGCGAGTTTATCTAGTATAGATGGAAGAAATATATTTATATTCGAAGATATTAATTATATTAAATTTTACATTCTATAATAATAATATTAAAGTACAGTCTATGGAAACTCTACGTAAAAAAAAATATTGCCATATTGTATTTTTGCTTAGTGGTTTAAAATAAAATGATGTAGTAAATATTTGCAGCAGGATATTAAAAGTAGCTGACATTTAAATCTTGTTTGTTAAATATCAAATAAGTTTCACTATAGAACTAGTTTCTTATCTTGCATTTCGAGAAATAATCGTAGATTGTATAATAATTAACTATAATAGTAACCTGAAACGTTTACGCCAAAGACTTATGCTAAAAAGAATGGTACTTACTCCAAACTTTATCCTTACGGATATGAAGTAGGTACACTGCCATCGTATAATCTGATCTATAATCAGAGTAGCCTGTCTATAAATTAGAAAGAATTTATACTTACTACTTTTGTAAATTATAAGTATTTTTTATAAATAAATATTTTTATAATAAATTATTTTTTTTACTTAATTTATGCCTAAAATTTGAAAACCTAGATAGATATAACATTTGTTTATGATAATAAAAGATGTTTTCTGTTGAGCAATGGTTGACGTACCGTTCGTTTTATGAAAATATCCTTTTATTTTGAGGATCAGAATTGAATGATTATTATGTGTTATTTATTTATAATAATATATTTATTATTTATAATATATATATATTTAGGTTTTCACATTTTGAATGTTCCATATAACATTAAGAATTATTAATAATTGTGATTGCACCGTTGTGTTTCGGTGTGGAAGGCATTAAAATTACGGAGATTTAACACCATAGTCTTCAAGAATGATGAGTACCGTAGGTATCACTATGATGTCCACTTACCATCCGGTGAGCTATCAGCTTGTTTGCCATTCAAAGTATCATAAATAAAAATTATTTAAAAAATATTTAGTTAACAATATCGAAAATTAGAGTCGAATTCCTAGTGTGAGTTTAACACTAAACCCTTAGTAGGCTACTAAGAGTTAGGGTACGAATATTTGCGATTAAAATGAGATGGTGACACAAACCTATTACACCCAAAAAATTAGCTCTACAAGTTTGTAACAAGCTTAAAATTGTATTAGAAATAATATATTATCACAGACATAGAATCTCATTAAAGCAGATACTTAATCCTGTAACACGTTGACCAGAGGAAGTGCTATATCTTACTAAATTTAAGACATAGAATAATGTACTTATGTAAATCTTAAAACTAAACCGTTAGTCGCCTATTAAGATACTTGAGGATAAAAAGAGACGGTAACACAAACCTATAACACCTATAAAGTGAGCTCTACAAGTTTTTAATGAACTTAAAATTGTATTAATGGCAATGATATACTTTCATAGACAGAGGATCTTACTAAAGCAGTTCTGTTCATATTGTATTAATATAGTAGGTGAAGGTGTGAAATAAAATAAAAATAAATAGAATTAATAATCTTATTTTAATAAAAACACAAACCAAACAACAGTTTCAGTAAACAAACCAAGAAACTTTTTAAGCAATTGCAATTAAGGAACTATTATAGAAGTGTATTTAAAATTACTTACATCTAAAAAAGTATAAAAAATGCTGTATACCATACTTATAATTATTAATAAGTATGGCAAACATGTAACAACAAATAGGAATGGATAATTTTATTTCGAGATAAAGGGTACAATTAAAATAAAAGTTTAACTCAAAACAACTTACTTTTTAGACAATAATATATAACTAAAAATGATATTAATAGAAAATATATAAAAAAAAAATATGTGTACTTACCGACGTCTAAACAAGTATAGTAAATGTAAGTGAAGAAAAATATCGTATGTGTCTTTAGTTTAGTAACAAATCAAAATAGTTTTCATTTGCAAAAAAAAAATATTATAATAAAAAAAAGATTGAGTACACAATAAATCAACACAAATAACTCTTTAGATAACTATTACATAATTTGTAATGTGACATTATAATAAAAAAAAAGTGCACTTAAAACTAAGTAAGCAAAAAAAGACAATATTTTATGCTGTATACAGTATGTATTTCATAAAATGAAAAATCCTTAGTAAAATAAAAAATAATAAAAATAAAAAGAAATGAGTAACACTAAATACTCATAGATAAAGACTTATATGCAATTAATGTTTTTATTAGCCTTTCCCGTAAAAGCTACTAAACGGATTAAAAAGAAAAATGGTACACTGGTAAGTTTGATCCTAAATTAGCAAATAGTGTACTTTATATACTGAATCATGCATGTAAAACCGCGGGATGCAACTAAATATATACTATAGTTTTTATTATATAGTTTTAATAAGGTATTAATATAAACAATATTTGAGTGCATTTATTTTCATCTAATGGGCAGGGGAGATAGGGACTGTTAGAAATGGGATCTAAAGATCTCATTTCTGGCAATATTTTTTATGAACCATGTGGTGTCGACCTGCATCCACGTGGTTCCCCCTGGAAAATCGTGGTGGTTACTGACCGACTTATTTTTTGTGGTACCCTGACAGCGTATACAGAGTTTTGATTTATTCTATTTTGCATAAAGAATCCGAAATAAGAAAGCGACTTGAATATAACTGTTAAATTAAAATAAATAATTTTAATTAAACAAAATATATTTTTTTAAAGAAAAATAATTGCTTTTGAAGTCGTCGTAAATGTTTAAAATGTTTAAATGTAAAAATAAAGTAAAAAGATTATTAAAGAAGTACCGATAATATAAATGTGTGCGACCTAGATCTCTAAAAAAAGTTAAACCAAAATTCATAAGTTTATTAGAAATGCCAATGTTTGTGTGTCTCGTAATTATACATATATATGAATGTTTTATTAAATAACAATTATAGGATGTACAAACAACTATTACGTTATCAAATTTAATTTTAATAAAAGGAAGACTAAAATATAGAATCTAACATAACGACAGACACAGACACCACAGTTAATTTAATCAATTTATTTTTACAATTTTGTCACACACACAAATGAATTAAATTTCATCAACAACAATATTTCAATCATAACAATTAAGCGGAATATTTTATTAATTACTTTTGAAGAACACGAGTGACTTCTGCTAGAGGAGTAGAGTAGGTTCCAGGTTTGATGAGGTTTACCAACTGCTCAGCTATTTCTTGGCCTACTCTGAGTTGAGCTTCTTTTGTCGAGGCACCTTGAAAATTAATAATAAGGTCACTACTTATTACCAAAGTCCACAATGTTACCAAGGTCTACTATGTTACTATTTTCTACTATTAATTATGTGAGAATTAATGATTTTATATTTAATCAACATGGTATGTCTAATGATTTTATTATTAATGTAGATGATATGAACTAATGATTTTATCATTAAACTACATGATATGATGTAATGATTGTATAGTTAATCTACATGATATGATCTAACGATTTCATCATTAATCTACATGATATGATCAGAAAACAAATAACAAATAATTAATACTATTAAAACATTTAGTTAATTACAATATAAAACTTATCTAAAACTAACTACTAAACTACTTTATTTAATTGTATTAAATAAACGTCCCAAATTAATTGAAAATAGTAGTTTTAGCACTTTATCAGAAAAAGAAAGTCGTCAGATGTGCCTGCATGTATTTCGGTCTAAAGGGCAATTAAAAGCGTTCATAATTTTTTAATAAAATATCTAATGTTATATATAAATCTACCACTAAAATCTTTGCGTCTTTTGTTTCGAAATTATTTAAATACTTTTTATCTATCTAATTTCCAAATTTAAACGACTTAATAAAAATATTATTTTATGATTAACGTTTCAGTTCGTTAGCGGAGGATTTTTTTAAATCAGGTTATGAGATGAGAAATAAATGATTATTCACATTTTAATTTGAATCAGACAAAAATATAAAAATAAAGGAAGAATAATTGCGACGTATATATATGTCACATTTTGGTAAGGAAAAATTATGAGCGCTCATAAATTACTATATGATACACTAGTGGAAAAAATTAAGGGATCAGAAAAAATTACAAATTTTTTGAGGTTTTTCAAGTAGCTGTATTTCCTTTAAAAATGGTCGTATTGGAATTAAAAAAAAAAAGGATTTTAAAGCTCAAAGTTTCTAGTTTTGAGATCTTATGATGGAAACATTTTTTAAGCAACGTGTTCTGCTCAATCCAAATGATAACTGAAACGAAAACTTTTCAAAATTTTTTTACCCCTTCTTTTTCTAACCCTCCTTAATTTCCTTGTGTGATCAGCGGTTGCTGAGATATTGATGGTTCAAGACAAAAAGATCCTTTTTCATTCAAAGTTCGATATCTCAGCGATAAGTATCGAACTTTGCAAAAAAGCAAATTAAAGCAGAATGAACATGCTATCCGATCCATATAGTGGACAAGTTAGAAAATTTTTTTCCAAGTTCGTAGACCAAAAAAAAAACCAAAAAAATTTAGAAAAAATTATCGTTTCGGTCATCATTAGGATAGAGCAGAACACGTTGCTTAAAAATTTTTTTCATCATAAGATCTCAAAACTAGAAACATTGAGCTTAAAAATCCTTTTTTTTAAATTCCAATACGACCACTTTTAAAGGAAACTTGAAAAACCTCAAAAAATTTGACATTTTTTCTGATCCTTTAATTTTTTCCACTAGTGTATTTTAGTCCGTAGGAATGGTAATACTACGAATAGTAACTACTATGGGCAATATTGATACGCTATGCAATCTGTCAAACCCATAGGTTGTTTTTGTCTATAAGGGTGAGTTACCACATTCTAATAGACGGGCTATCAGACTGTTTTCCATTCCGAATTCTAGTAGTCGAGTAAAAATGTAACTTTTTCCTGGATAATTATTAGTCGCTACTGAAATACAAAGGGAGAAATTATATTAATGCGCATGAAATATGCACAGCGCCACCGTGTGCAAAAACTCGGCAGTTTTCGTACAGAACATTACAAAATTTTCAACAACGCAACAACACAATGGAGCGGTCGTGCGGTGTTCAAATTTAAACTGCGCTATATGAAAGCTGGAGTTTTCGCGCATGGATAAGCAGAAATGAATGTTCGATTATCACTGAATGATCCAATCGAATACTGTCTAAATTTTGAAATAATTTTCATAAGGAGAAAAGTAACTAAATCAAACTACTGAGGTATAGACCCCAGTAGGTGAATACGGCGTCTAGTATGATTATATTATTTCCTATATGATTGAGTAATATGACATGGTAATAATGAAAACCCGTACTGTAGCATTCTACTTACTTCAATAGATTCACTGAATCTTACTCAAGGGTATTGACTATAGAGATCACACAAAATTCAAAAGAGATATCTATCCTAGAGTTTGTTTGTTTCTTTGAATGAGCTAGTCTCTGTAACTAACAGCTAACTTCTTGTATTCGATAACTCACTAGGGAAAGGTTTATTCAACATTACGTCAACATTACGAACGAAGCTGCTGGATACAGCTAGTATGATATAATTTGGTGACAATTGATTTTTATTATCAAAAGCTGGTAACTCGTGGCTTTGTCCGTATTAATTCTATATTCAAGAATCTATATAAATTTTTACATATGCAAATACAGAATAAATCGTAAAGGCTATACTGAGATAAACAAAGGACAGTATTAATGAAACTGAGCAATTTCTCTAAAAATCATATTCAAGGTCAAAATATTTTATCATTGCTCATACTAAATCGATCTAGTGATCGCAAGTCTAGTCTGATACATACAGAATTTGAAATTTTGAATTATTCCTTGAGAAAAGTTGATTTCATGTATGCTATCACTGGGTTTCGACTTAGTATACCCTTTACGATTAACTGAAAAGTATTAATAAGATATAAATACCCAAATGTGGTGTGCCGAGAACAGACGGATGCTGTATTATTTGTAGAGTTATTGGGTTCGTCGGCGGCTCCTCTTCAAACACATCCAAAGCCGCCCCACCAACCTATGTACCGTTCAAATACAATTAGTAGGTATGTAGTAAAGTTTTAGATGTGGATATAAATTAAATCAACAGCACCTAGCCATTTTCATTCCATAAATGCTAAAATATCGTATTTTTTAGAAGTATTATAATAACAAAATAATAATCTTTAAACTTAATATAATAGTAATAAATAATTAATGAGTTGTTACTAAATAAATAAGTGATAAAAGTCAGTTAATTATGTATATTAAGTATAAAGATATCCGCGAAAATTTAAAAAGTTTTTAAATAAAACTATCAATATTATAGTTATAGACATTCGCACAGCAAAAACATAAAACAATATGAAAAGACAACACATCGGCGTCATCGTACTTACCGTTTTTTGAGACATTTTGACATTTGACGCTCCATCTAGATCTCTATGTACATAATATATGAACTGTATATATAATGTAACAATTACAGAGTTCAAAACTTTTGTCATTATATATTACATAAAACACTATAATGATATTAGTAAAAAAAACTTACCTGTCCGGAGTTAAGTGCGTTTAGAAGATCTTCCTCATTTATCAATCCACCTCGACCCACGTTTATTATCTTTACCCCTTTCTTGCAATGAGCTAATACGTCAGCGTTTATAAGATCTATACGATGAATAAAAATTTATAATTAGTTAAGTGACACGGTTATATAGTATACATGAAACTAATATTATATAACTGCGTAAGTTGTAGATTGGCACTATATTAAATCTATAACGTAATACATCTAGTCTGAACATAATTTTTAAAATGTGTTGTATTATAATATAGTAAGATATCTAAGTTTATCTATTAATACGCTAGAAAATAACTAAAAAAAAAAAACTTTCCGAATATAGCCAAGGCAGATATAAGTATTCAATAAATTATTAAAACAATATTAGTAGATAAATTTTGTTTGTTTGCCATTTGCACGAAAATGCACATTTAATTGTGATCAAAAATAATAATCAACTTTCACATTCAACGCTCTTTTTTCTTTGATTATAATATCATTGAATGAACTCCGGTTCAATTGAATTATTATAATTTTTGGTGCGATAAGTGAATGATAGCAATAATGACAGACGAGCTAGGACGTCTTCTAGATGGATTAATGTGTATATAAGTAGACAAAAACAAATTTTTATAACGATAACCGGTTTATTTCAATTCAATTTTAGAGTGAATTTACAAGTGAAGGTCATCAATTATTGACCTCTGTTATATAGACGCAGTCAAGTCGTCCATTTATTTTTATACTAAAGTCTGATAACAAATGAATTATCTTTAGACTTTCATGGCAAATAAATTACTTGTAAGTATATGAAAAAAACATAGGATGCGATTGAAGATTCGATAAGATATATCTATATCATTCTTACGCAAATAAAACAGAATTATTCATATCTTAATATAAAAATCCGCTGTCTCCAAGTTTGTTAACGCTAATCTCAAAACCTTGAAACTAATTAACTGAATTTAAAAAAGAAAGAGATTTTTTTAATAAACTTTTAAGATAAGGGAACATACACCAAATAACTTTTACTTTATGGGACTCTATATCATCATTGTCATCAACATATTAGCGATTAGCTGTCTACTGTTTAACAAAGATCTCCCCCATAAACTGCTATAAGGAACGGTGCTATGCAATCCCATGTCAAATGATTGGAAACCATGATTGGAAGCAAGGTAATTTTAATAAAAACAAAAACTTTTATCAGATATGTTGCAGTGTAAGTCAGTAATGAGTTCTTCTCATTACATATTTTGTGTTATTTCAAAATGATATTTGTATTTAACTGTTGTATTATTTAACAGCCAAAAATATTCAATTTCGAGGAACACTAATGACTTTTACGGGACCCACTTTGGGAATCGCTGAAGTAGAGGTCGCTATCTGTATTATTAGTATAAGTTATATATATATACTCACTTCGAGTGGATGCAATGAGCGGCGTATGGAGAGTGATGTAGTCAGCAATAGGCCAGATTTGATCAAGGTCCAACCTAGTAGTGTTGAACTCCTCGCATTGAGTTGCGTTCACAAATGGATCAAATCCCACAATCTGTAATAGCAATATATAATAACAATTTATTTAACTGTTCACTTTTGTATTTCAGATGAAAAGATTCATTTGAAAGAATAATGAGAAAACTGAAAGTTTTTTATCGTGAATTACTGGTGAGTTGGCGAGAAAAGGAGCTTATGTAAGAATTTTTTCTATTCAGTATCGTATTCGTAAAAAATTTTGTTATTCAATCAAACATTTGTTTTATACAAGAAGAGGAAATATTTAAAGTTATGGTAAAAGGCGATTATTATATATATAAATTTGTCAATGAACAACTATTATCACAGTTTGGTTCGCGTAATCAGGACATATGAATGATCTAGGATAAAAAGGAAGCCATTTAGGATTTCGCAGCTGCTAGGTAAATTTCGCGTTGCACTTGCATTTTATGATAATATTAAAAATAATAATAATTTAACGAATACAAGACATTATTATTATTTTATAACTGTCCACTACTGAACATAGGCCTTTCTCATAAGAAGAGTTTTGCCAATAGTTGCCACGCTTGGCAGACAGTTTGGCAACTGAGTTAGACTTTGGTGATGTTTAAAGAGAGACGCTGCTGCCTATCCCTTGATCATTAAGTTCCCTTAGTCGCTTTTTATCACCTTCAGAGGTTATGAAGGGGAATACAAGACATATATGTGTCACATAAGCTTGTTGAAATATCGCATCGCAATTCGCAATAAGTGTGTTTTTAATTTGCTTATTACCTAATTAATTGCTGAATGATTACGTCATTATTATAAAGACAGATAATATAGTATGATATGAAATGAGAGGCAAGTCTATAGTTACTTGTTTGTGTTACATTGCAGGCAAAGACATGTCAGGTAATACATGGTGACAAAAACTAATTATTTTTATAATATCATCATGATTTTTGTCTAATTTTTTTAAACTTACACAACAGAATTATTTTTTCAACTCTGCATGTTCATAGTATATAATTTATAAATGTCTTATTTTATATGTCTGTTAAAAACTCAACAAAAATATAAACAAATGATTAATTGTATGTTTTGATTTGTTACTAATTTTACTTACAGAGTTTTTTTGTTATAATTTCAAAAAAACTTAATTACCTATTCATTAAGAACCACTGCAATTTTGAATTTTAATCGCAAAAAAAAGTATTTGAAAAATCTAAACAAAATATGAAGGTTTTAGTGGTAGATTTATATGTAATATATTCAATGATTTTAACTTCCTAGCAGAGCAGTTTTTAAATAATCAAACAAAAATATTGAATATTCGCAGGTAAAATCGTAACGTTGTCACACTTCGATCAGCATAACTGGTAACGCTTTTAAGTTCTATCGAGACAGGCAATAGTTAATGAAATTCTACTACTTACCGACATTCCGAAGGCTTTCATGCGTACAGCAACTTCCCTGCCAACACGACCAAGCCCAATAATGGCCAGGGTTTTGCCGTTAAGCTCAGTTCCAGTGTACTTGGTACGTTCCCACCTTCCGTTCTTAAAGTCGGTGGCAGCTGGTACGATGTGTCTTGCTAGAGCCATCGTGAGTGCACAAGTAAGTTCACAAGCACTCAGAGCGTTAGCACCAGGTGCACTGAAATATAATAACATTATAACACAGATGCGTGTATATATGTAGGTATATTATTTATGAAATTCAAATATAAAACATACATACATACATTATAGCTATTAAATAACTTTACTTTGAAGTTTCCACGTCCGTTGTTGAATTTCAAAATAAAAAGAGATACCTATATCATTACAATTAAAAAGAATTTATACGTACAAAATTGTGTTCGAATGGTTATTTTGTGTCTTTTGAATTTGTACTTCAAACGTTGTATCTAAGCAGTAGCTTTCGAAAATTTAAGTTTCAATTTGAATAGTAGCTTAAAACAATTAATAAGCAAGCAAGTAGATAGGAATTGTAATATTAAATACCACATTAGATGATCATATTAAAATGTTAATATGAAACTAAACTAAATCTAGCTAAAACAATAGACAGTCTAATGGTGTATATATGAAATGAAAAAATCACTAACTTTATAACACCAATTCGTTTCTGCCCAGCAGTTATGACGTCGATGTTGTCGACGCCCGCGCCTGCGCGTGCCACCACTTTCAATTTTGTACCAGCCTCCAGCACCTCCTTTGTCACCTGGGACGCAGACCTCACTACCAAGGCGTCATAATTCTGAGGAGCATAATTTTTAATCATTTTTATGACTAGTATTCAGCTAGAAGAGTTATTTAGAATTTCAGAAGAAAACAATCTATAAGGTTGACAATTAAGTGGGAACTCCGCCTGCACTATGAGTACTCACTGACAGGGTTCTAGTGAGGGATAATAAAGCCAGGTCAGTTGACCTATCGTGAAAAGTTCACCAGGTATTAACTACGATGGTTTCCAGAAAAGACCGCATAGAAGTTGAACTTTTCTGCTGCTAGCAGTAGGATCACTAGTTTCATTATTAATAATCTCTTCTCCACTATATTAAGAAATAATAAACACACTGTGTACTTACAGGAATTTCTTTCAATAACTCCTCCTTTGTTATTTTAGCCTTGGTGGTAACCTGGATTCCATGGGAACTCAGGATCTCAGCGCAGTTTGCGCCAACTCCATCAACGATCAGAACTGTTTTGATTTCAAAGCTCATTTTTGATCTGTTGATAAAAAGAATACATTTTTTAATTAACATAATTTCTTAAAAACTAATAATATTCATACATACATTAATTAAATATTAATTTTTAATACAAATCCTTTTAAATTCTACTCATCTTATATATATGAAAATGTTTAAAGATGTATGTTTTACTTAATCACACTTTGAAACGGCTAAACGGATTTGAATGGAATTTTGTACACAAGTAAGTTATATCCTAAAAGATACTTTATAATTGATTCACACAGACAAAGCCATGGAAAACGACTAGTGCGTATTAATATTAAAATTTAAAGTGATCAGGATTGTAATGTCAAATGAGATAGTTCTGGGTGTATGTAAGCATATTCATTTATTTATATTAATAAACCATATATTAGTGCAACCAAACCTGAAAAACGGGGGGAAGGGATTGCGTAATGGGGTCTAACAGCCGAATTGCTATATTATTAGCCCTTCGACCCTCAGGTCGAAGACTCATGTGGAATTACCAATCCAATTTTATCCCATAAAATATATTTAAAAAAAAAGTATTTAATTTCTAAATTCAGGGTTTTTGAGAGGTTTTCGTTTTTAGATATATATTTTAATATTATTCTAGTAAGTATAAGTAGTTGCCGTGCAGTCCTGATATAGAATGGAGCCACTTCTTCCTTTTCCGTAGATGTCGTATGTGGCGACAAAGGGAACATAATGGTTGAGGGATGGGCAGCAGCGTCCCTCTTAAAACATTACCAAAGACTAACTGCGGTGGCCAATCTGCCTCCTGAGCATAGCGAGTACTGACAGAGTATCCCAATAGAGGGTGGCCTATGTTCTGCAGTGAACAGTTAAAGTCTGACATGACGATGATGATGAAGTAAATGTAGATGCAGAAGGTAAGTACTTAACCATATATATATATATATATATATATATATATATATATATATATATATTATATGTTCCAAGAAATAATGCTTGTGTAATAAATTCGAGAAAATAATGCAAACGCATCTACTTTGTGTTAGCGCATCGCAACTGAATTGCATATTGTAATATGAGTATTGTGTGCAATACCTAACATGTAGAGTGATATGCACCTAATTGTATAATAAAATATTTTTACAATTTAATATTTAAATTCATCCTTATTGCTGGGAACAAATCTGTTCCCTTAAAAGAAGATCGACTACTGCTCCTAATTAGATAGCTAGGGTTGTTGTTGTATTCATATGATCATCTGAACGAATGATTAATTGTTTATTAGTTACTACCATTATAATAAACTAAATAATATGTCGATTCAATAATGGATGAATTTTTCAACAACTTTATTGTTTAAAACGTATGAAATATTAACTGTATTATATGTGTATATTTGTAAATACACAATGCGTGTACAATGTGTGTAAACCAATTTTGGTGAATGTTTTCTTAATTGAATATGTTTACTCCTATGTTAGTCCTAATAATAATAGATAATAATAAATAATCTTAGCAATATTAAAATCAGTAATTATTGGGGGATAAAATTTAAAATATTACTTTATCCTACTAAAACTACTAATATCATATGAATTTGTATAATCATATGAATGTAAAAAAGTATGTTTGTTACCTAATCACTGGAACCTTTGAATGAATTCGAAATTTGGTACATGGATAGATTATATATTCATACATATCTGTCACGCCTGTCTCCCATTTATCAGAACCATGATAAACAGTTAGTACCAAAATAAAAAAGAAATGTATATCAGTAATGGTTAAGTATTTCATTGGTACAATTCGTATTCTAGAATTGTACCAATGAAATACTTGAACTCAACCTCAACTCTGCGTTACCAGGACATAGTTATTAACTGAGAAGAAGAATATCTTTCAAGGCTTCAAGAAGGCACAAATAGCTTATACATTTGTTATATTGGTATAGAGAAGAATTTATTCAGGATACTCTTGGAATTATCCTGTTACAACCAATAAAGGTTAGCACGTGCGCTAACCTTGTGTCGTGGACTTATGTCGTACATGTATATATGAAGTACACAAATCAATATTAATATTATAAACACAAAAGTAATCTTAATCTACTTAAATAGGGGGTAAAGGGATTGTTAGCAATGGAGTTTAACAGTCCCATTGCTAGCAATATGCCCTATTAGGTCGACCTCCACGTGGTTCCTCCTGGAAACCATCGTGAACAATTCTTGTTGAATTCCTCACGATGGGCTAACTGACCTGACTTTTTATCTTCACCTATCATCCCTCATTGGTGCACCGCCAGTCTATACCGTTAGCGAAGGCGGGGTTACCATTTCATTATAACCCATTAAAAAAAATCTACTTAAATAGTACTTACAAACGAATTGGAATGATCTTCTTAAGACTGTTTATTGATGTTCAATAAACAAATGAAATTAATTCATTAAATGACTAATTAGTAATTTTATTCAGTGTGTAGTTTTGTTATATTTGCAACAAAACATAGTTATCTAAGTTCTATTTAAATAGACTATAAAAACAAACAAATATAGTCTATACAACATTTTACAGCTCTAAAACAATTCAAAACTTTTCATAATTATATATTAGGTAATAAATTTCTATCTTTCTGTAAGGATTTATCTTTACTATTTCTACAAATATAAGTGTATGTGATTTCGAACAATATTAGATAAATATCCAACAACTATGTATATTTTCCAGGAGTAAAATAAATTTTTAATACCTAATATATAATTCAAGATAAACACCCTGACCTTACATTTTTTGCAACAAACTTATTCTACCTATAGTCCGGTCAAATTAGATGAAAAAATAAGATTAAAGCTGCTTAAATTCCCACCAAGCTAAAATCTGTAAGATTGTTTAAAATATTATTAAAAATTAAATTTGAAAGTGCTCCATCTTTCCTCTATATGGAAAAAAAATTATTCAAGGTCAAATGTCAAAAAAATGAGTTTTTCGCGATTTTCAGCAAAACGGTAAGTTTTATCAGAAAAATACCTCAGACTAAAATTGTAGATCATTAAATTATCTATAAAAAATATATCAATACTTTTTTTCTATAAGTCACTGTTTCAGAGATATAACGATTCAAAAATTGTAAAAGTTGTATTCGTCATAATATGCATGAGTACGCCACGTATATACATCCCTATAGTTGTAATATATGTTTAAATATTTTTCTATCGGTCATTGTAACTTACACTTATAATATGAAATATACATAAGTTATAACTATAAGAATATCAGGTAAAATTAAACTCAGTTTCTTAATTTATATGCCATTTTAACCTTGAGACAACATCTGTCCCCTGTTCAATTGTGTGCATGGCTAGGGTCTTATACCTGCTATAATATTATAAGTGAAATACCGTTAGTCTTTTACGTCAGTCGGTAGTGAAAATACGTGTTTATCCTGACCTATATCGTGCTGTTTTGAGTTTTATAACAAAAATGTTAGAATATTGTTTAATTTGTGCTAAACTTTTAACTGAAAGTGAAGTTGTTACTGTTGAACGTGGTATGAAGACATTATTTAATGCAAGTGTGGAAAGAGCACATAAATTTTTGGAATAACTTAAAAATCAGTAATCTGTGACAATACATGAAAATTGTCGTAAAAATTATATTCGAAAGTCTTATATTGCTGCAACTAATAAAAGGCAACGTGAAGAACAAGAAACCAGTACAACCACAGTAAGTCCTCCTTGAACTAGATTATGTTCCAGTGAATCAGCATTCATGATGAAGATAAAGAAGAACAAGATCAAGAAGAAAAATTTGAAAGTTAGGACTTGGATGATTAAAGTTCAGTACTTTTTTTTACTTAAATTTTTATATTTTCAATCTCTGCTAATATTCATTATTTTGCAATAGTTTCATATTAAACAGGATCACAACCGACCCGTGGAGTAGGCCTACTGGGGAAACCACGTTAAAAAAAACGCGCTAAGTACACTACCTCATAGGTGGCGTGGAAACGTGTGCATATTATAACGATTACAACTTTTTGAATCATTATACTCGTATCTCAAAAACAGTGGCTTGAAAGAAAAAAAGTATTGATACATTTTTTGTAGACAATTTTATGATCTACAATTTTTGTCTGCAGTATTTTTATGATAAAACTTACTGTTTTGCTGAAAATCGCGAAAAACTCTCTTTTTTCATCTTTGACCTTGAATTTTTTTTTTCATACAGGGGAAAGATGGGGAACTTTCAAATTTTATTTTTAATCATATTTTAAACAATCTTACTGATTTTCAGCTTGATGGAAATTTAGGTAGCTTCGAATGTCTAAATTGACCGGACTATTATTATAAAATAATATTATAATATCGATATCGCGTAATTGTATATGAAAACGATTATTGAATTGCCACCTGTGTTAATATTATAATTGAAATAAATAAGTACAATCCTCAACAAACACTTATTGCAAAAATTTGAAGGTGTTACGTGGCGAATGCTTAAAACTGCTTTTTAAAAACTAATTTTATTAATTACGTAGAAATAGTACAAGTACGTGGTTACAATGTGAATTAAAAAATGAAACTGATGAAGGAAGGTGGTATTTTTATGAAGCGGGGTTTATCGGAGAGGGGTTGTTGTTCTCAACAAAGATTTATTAACTAATGGTGTAATAACATAACAAAGTTATTTTCAATGTCGACAAGAATCATTACAGAGTTAATTTTACAAAAAATATTCTACATACAGAGTTATAGATTAAAATTGTGACGAACTAATATTACGAATTAATTTGACCTATTTAAAAAGTAAAATAATAAGGAATAAATTACTTACTCTTATTGTAGATCAACAGCACTGCAAAACGTGTCGAAACGTATGTCTTAATCGATGGATGGATGTAGACTAACTTCACTAACTGCAAACTTCGGTTGAGGTGTACAGTCGATTGTCGACACAATATGATACTCGCCGGCCGGCTACTGACGTTGCAGCAATGTAAACGGAATCGGACATTAATATATTGTCTATTATTATGTATTAAATCATAATTAATAACTTTATTTATCAATATTTAATGATGCTATTAGAAGAAAAAAAATCCTATTGCACTTTATAATCCACTAGCTTCATGCTAGCTTTCACTCACATCATTCCACTAGTTTTATAATCCACAATAATATATATAGTATCCTATATGCTTAATAAGGATATAACCTATCCTTGTACCAAATTAAATTTAAATCCGTTCAGTAATTTTTATGTCAAAGAGTAACAAACAGCCATCCGTTCGTCCATTGTCACAAACTTTCGCTTTTGTTATATTAATGAGATATATAATCTCTAAAATCCTAATTACTTTGAGTTAAGTTTGCTTGGAAGAGATCGCTCTTAGCAATAAGGCCGCCCATTGTTTTCTTAGTGTAATATTTTCTTGTAATTGTTTGTATTTATAACAAGTTTACTAATTTTATTAGTAATTCTATGGAGATTAAAGAGTATCTATCTAAACTATCTAACTAATATTTAAAATCGAAAAACTCATAGCCATTTTGAAGTAATTCTAACCACCGTTTCTGTCCTTTTCGTCATCTATCAAATAATATAACAATCTGTATCATGCTAAATTAATCAATGCACAATCAAAAATATTACCTTAATAAAGAAGTATTAAATCAATAGGTAAACAGAAGATACACTCGTTACCTGTTTAGAGGAATAGCAACTCTGATATAAACTTAGAAAACTGAACTTTTGTGAAGTCGGTTTTTTTTAATCACCATAGAAACAAATGAAATCTGTGTGTTTTACTAGAACCGTAATGAAAGTTAAGTGTTCTCATTATTTAACACTTGTTATCTCTAGTAAAGCAATAGATATGCGCAGAAAGTTTACGATATTCCGTTTCCGTGCATATGTCTACGACATGGTTATCATAAAATATTATCATCGTGCCTCGACACAAGCAACAGCAGACGGGCATACGGGCACTCGGGCACATTGATAGCTATAACACAATACGAAGATGCGGTTTGCTCGTGTGTGTACTATACGCAATTGTGCGTTGACCCAATAGTAATGTTACGTCAGCCCATGTTTACAGCTGACACTTTCAGTAATCTATTCAATCTTATACGAGTGTTTTTCCTAACCTAATAACTATTTTTATTTACTATATAATTATATTTACTTACCACGATAAGAAATTGGATCGGTCGCTCCCTGAAATTAGTTTCCGATCAACGACCAATTACTTTCTATGAAAGTAGAACGGAAACGAAAACTTCGAACTAAATAGAGATCTACCTATCTCGCACAGGACTTGGAATTAGATAGACAAATAGGAAAAGTAGATGAGCAAATTAAAGATACGTTTTCCCATGGATAGGTCGGGACACTAATGTGGGTTGTCTTATTCTGTTGCGGTTACGAATACATGTCTACCGATAGCTTAGTTTATCACTTGTCTAGTTGGACCATTTCAGTTGATCAGATATCGCATATACCTATATATCGTACTTTTTTTTTAGTGGGTGGTAATGGAATGGTAACCCCACCCGCGCTATTAATATACACCGGCGCGGCACCAGTGAAGAATGATAAGTGAAGATGAAGCAGGTCAGTTAGCCCATCGTGACGAATTCAACAAAAATTGTTCACGATGGTTTCCAGGGGGAACCACGTGGAGGTGGACCTAATAGGTCATATTGCTAGCAATGGGGCTGTCAAACTCCATTGCTAACAATCCCTTTCCCCTGGTATATATCGTACTAGTAACCTCCATCGGCTTCGTACGGTTTTTTTTTAATATAAAATATAGCTCATGTTCTTTACTGATATCGTTATGTTAGTGGTTAACTGTTTACTGCTGAACACAGGTCTCCCCAATAAAGTAAGGGTTTTCCAGCAGTTGCCACGCTTGGTATGCAGATTGGCAACCGCAACTAGCCTTTGGTGATGTTTTAATAGGGACGCTGCTGCCCATCCCACGACCGTTAAGTTTTCTTGATCGCCTCTTACGGCACTCATGGGAAAGAAAGAGGTAGCCCAGTCTATGCCTAGAACATACGGTAAGGGCACTCGCTAACATATTAGCTTTGTATATGTGCAAGAAGTTTGTAAGTATTATAGTTTAAGTATTTTTTGAGATTGTTGAGTTCAAACAAACGATCGAATGTTTCCTTTAATAGTTATATCAACTAAGGAAGCTCGACAGCTTTCTATGTTACTGGCTGACAATGTTAACTTAATGATATAATAATAATGATTATTTCTTGTAATTGTTTATATTTATAATAAGTTTACTATTGTAATCTTTTGGAGGAAATAATAAAGAGTATCTATCTCTCTATAGGTAATTTTTTTTTAAATCAATTGAATCTTTATTGTGTTTACCCATTACAAACAAACAGTCAAATCAGATCTCTTTGTAATATTACTATTAAATATTATACTATTGTAACATATTTAAATCTCATTACTGGATACATTTCTTTCTTCAAAAGCGGAGATAACATTACATTGATTTATTCTATTATATACTAGCTTTTACCCGCGACTTTGTCTACGCGACCAGGATAAAGTGTAGCCCAAATCCTTCCTCATACCATATAGTATATGTATATAATTGATGAAGTCGTAAGTAATAGCTAATTAATTAATTAAAGTATGAAGATTTTTGGACTATTTTTTCTTTTCGCTTTTTGCTAACCATGATGCAGATCAATAAAACACTGGCGGTAACATATAATAAAATATTGGCGGTACATTTTTATAGATTTTTACAATTTTTGTCTGTTTACCCTTATGTTTCTTTGTCTGTACGTTTGTTTATCTTAGAAACAGCTTAACCGGTTTGAATGTAGTTTTCACTAATGCGTGGCACTTTGCTCCACTTAACATTTGGTGTTTGTTTTATTTTAATAGGTTTATAAGTAAAGAAATTATATCACACTGTGAAATGCTGTAAAATAACCGATCAGTTGAATTAGCTGGAACTTTTTTTATTGTATATATGATTTTCGAAAATTCTGTCTACTTGTTTTCTTCTTTCTATGCTAGAGCATAAGATGACTGACGATAAAATGTATGCGGGCAAATTTCATTTACTTAAATATCCTACTAGCATTATAAATGCGAAAGTTGCTAAGGATACGAATACCCTTAAAGTACGAGTAAAGGCTATACGGCTATCTCCATACATCTGTTACTCTTTCATGCTAAAACTGCAGGACAGATTTGGATGAAATTTGGTTCACGGATAGATTATATCCTAACTTAGAAACCAAAGACGCGAAGTAAACTTTTTTTTTAATAATATTTGAACTATTACTTCTGTCGCTATGTTTTAATGCGACAACTTTTATATCTTTGTAATATAACAATTGTCTAATAACGATTGTTTTATACATTTACTGTTTTTTTTTTCGAGTTAAGCATGCATGTTTATAATATAAAAATCTATGTATACATAACTACTTGTGTTCATTACTAGTTTAAATGGTTAGTTTAATTTTTTTACCAATTTTTATTAGTATATTCTTTGTTACATTTAAAAATGTAGGTCTGTTTTCATTGTCTTTAATATTTACTGTAAGTGTTTAATATTGACTTTAATATGTACTGCACTTTCACAATCAAATCGCTTACTGGCAAAACGTGGGCAGACGATAAAAAGGTGGTAGTTTGTCTGTGGGGTTACGTCATCACAAAGGCAGTTAGGCGAGTCAGCAAGTTTGTATCTGTGAAGATAGTGACGATTTCCTCTATGATCAGTAAGTAGACGAGTTATGGAGCTGTCCAATTTAAATGACATGAGAGCTTTATGTGATTGTCTGATATCCGGGAATAATGTCTTAATGAGTTTTTCTGTTTCTGAGCAAGAGTAATTAAATTGCCATCTATCTAATGTCTTCGGTCTAAGTGCATATTTGGCGAGTGACAGAGGGAAGCGGTCGTAAAGGGATTTAATCTCCTGATTTAGAGTTCCAACCGTAGGCAGTTCATCAACTCTCTCATTACCAAGAATTCCAGGATGTGCCTTAACCCAGTACAATTGAACGCATCCATCTTTTCGTTCAATTTCGCTAATTTGTTGACGGATGGCCATTGAGATGGAATGGAGGGAGGCCGAACCAGATATACTTTTCAGGGCAGATCTGGAGTCAGTCAGCATTAGAGAAGTTTTCCATTCTGTCTATTACACTGAGTGCCTCCAGAATCGCTGTTAGTTGAACCTGAAAGATCAAACAGTAGTCCTCTAAACAGAAGGTAGTGGATATAATTTCTATACCATGAACCCAGTAAGAAACCGATCCACCAACTTTATCCTGATCTGACTTTATCCTGAATTTTGCTATCGTCAGAAAACAATTTGGGCCAATAGCTTGTTTTGCGTAAATTGTTTACGTTAATTGGTACTGATATAATTCGTTCGATTGTTTGCAATATTTTTATTTCTTCGTTTAAGAGGTTTAACGCAAAAACACAATTCACACGATAATGACTTAATAATTGTATCCATATAAATAAGTAACGACAGTTTATCATCTCTGACATATGACTTCATGAATTGTATACATTTGATACAGAAATGTACTTAATTTAGAACTGGTTATTAGATTCTTTGTTATTTATCACGTATGTATTCTATTTCAGTTATATTCTTTCGTTCGATTTTTATTTCCAGCAATAGTTTTTATACTTTATTTATTTATAATTTGTTTGTTAAAAAACACTAGGCTAGTCCATAATAAATGCCACATATTCATACTAGCTGCATTACAATATTGGCTATTTTAACTTAAAGGCCTTAAGCTAGGATATCCTACATTATAAGAAACCGGGCAACGGACATCTGTGGGCACCACCTAATACAGCTAAACTCGAGCTAATTTAGAAACATATACTATAATGCGTTCCATTTCTCAAAGGTTACCATAAATAAACATTAAAATTTTGATAATTTAAGTTGGTGATTGAACAATCAGAAGCTTTTAAATCTAACTTGGTTGGTACTGATGTGAAAGAACAGAAACATACTAACTTTCCTTTATATTTATTCCATTGTATAGTAAAAATATAAATAGTTCAGAAGTAGGCATATATAAAGATATATTTACGTAGATATCGACTTGTGAAAAAGAAAAGAAACATACAATTATACCAGTCGCTTGATCTTCAAGCTAGGATCTCTCAATGTTAAAAGATATCAGAAAACGAACATCTGGAGAAGTAACTCAGAACACTCAGACTTGAACCAATTCAAAAAAGTTGTTTCCTAAATCAGCTCACCAGAAATTGTACCCGAAACCTCATTTATTACGAAGTAACGTGTCTATTGTGCCACGGAGATCGTAAAAAAAACTTTAAATTCATTATGATACATTATAAAAATGTATGAATACTACAATTGAGTTTGTTAGTGACGATGAACTCTATGATAGTTAGTAACATTATCATTATATTAGATATAATAATCATATTTAATATAAATTGTAACTAGTTGTTATTGTACATGGGAAACATTTAGGAAAAAAAAATTGAGAGGTTTTATAAGATCCCTCAAAATATTTTTAAATACTAATACTAATAGACGTCAAAACAATAATTTTTAGGAAGTGTGTCCGCCTATATTTTTTTATAACACAGACAGCTAACGAGCATGCGGCTCAGCTGATAGTAAGTGATTACCTCCGTCCATGAGTACCCGCAATACCAATGGCATTGCAGGTGTGCAGCCAGCATTTTAAAAAGGAATAATACTCTTTTCTTTTAGGTTATGATGTCGTATCGATTCAAAAAGACTGCTGCTGGAAGTTAATTCCAAAGCATATTGTGTGTGGAAGAAAGTGCCTTAAAAAGTGAAGGACCGCCACTCGTCCAGATGGTTGGGGTGGAACTTTAGCTTGTGGGTTGTACAGTGGTGAAAACCAGCAGCAGGTTTTAATTTGATAATTTCTCGGGGCACTCCCTATAATATATTTGGTATGCAACATCTTTACGCAATTTCAGTGTGGTACTATGACGGTCCTATCCATAGGCGAGAACAGTATTCCACATATGACCGGACTTGAGCTTTATACGATTGCAAGCGGTGTTCCGGTGTGAAATACCGTCTTACTCTATTGACTTACACTCTTAACTTAATGGAAACCATTTTAGCCTTTTCCTCCAGATGACCGCAAGCTGGACGTCGCTGAATATAACAATATCAAGGATCCCTACACTCGACTTATTATCAAAGGCAGTACCTTGAATGTAAGCAGATACGATAAACGCCGTCTTTTTTGCGGTGTATGCGCAAACTTGATTGTCTATCTGTATGTATATTTATACCGACATCACAGTTGTATTCTTAAAAGTCTGATATAAAATCTGGTATATGTCTGGTTTATGTACTTTTAAAAGCAACGCCAACAAAGTAACGGGCAAAAAGTTAGTGACAAATATTGCAATAGCGTTATATATTATAAAATATATTTGTAAATGGTCTATTAATATTTGTAGCAATGGCTACGGGTTTTAATAGACGATGTAATTAATTTAACAAATTTTATATTTTCGTCCGTATTTCATTCGTGTGGTCCCGGCATAGAATGGGCCACCCCTTCCTTTTCCGTGAGTGTCGCAAGAGGCAACTAAAAGAACTTAATGGTAGTGATGAGCAGTAGCATTCCTCTTAAAACATTTCTAAAGCCTAACTGCGGTTGCCAATCCACCTATCAAGTGTGGCAACTACTGGCAAAATCCCCAAGGGGGAGGCTTATGTTCAGTAGTGAACCGTTATGACGATGATGATGATGATTTCATATTTACTTGTATTATAATAATTATTTACTTAATTATAAATTACATTTATATTGATAATGTTATTTATTTCTATTAACGTTATCATGTTTTCTTAAAGTATTATACAAACTAATCTACAAATTGTCCTATGTGATGTTATTTTAGTTTTTTATTTCTTGCGCAAAATGTGGCACTTTTTATCAAGATATAATTACAGATTGCGTAAGTTATTAAATTAATTAAAAAAAGATAAATTCCTTTCCTATTAGTATTAGTATAATTTTATTGTATATTAGTATCAGCATTTTTTTTTTAATAAAACGTGCAAAAAATAAAATTTAAATGTAATTTTTTATTATTCAACAAATATTATGTTAAATGTAATAGAATACTTCATATTGTAATGCATGCGGGCCACGTGATATAACTAGGAATGTGCTAATGAGACACTACTGCATACTGATAGCAGATAAGTGCCTATTCTGCAACATTTGCAGAAAATTTAATTGGCCTTGGGAATGAAATGTACTACGACATATGTACGAATAAAATTGATGGTTGTTTTTTTTTTTTCGAAGTGAGCACGATGCTTACACCGCAGAGTTTTATCTTTCATGTATGTGGATACACAGCTAATGTATGTGAAATGAATATAAGCTTTAAATTATAATGTATATTACATGGTAAAATGAAAACTCCTCTACAAATATTATATCTTAATATTATCTTTATTATCACACTTAAGAAAGATACAAAACATATCACGATGGCACTAACAGTCAGTGCTTCAGCAGACAAAGTCATATTTATTGGTGACGGAACTAAAATGATTTTTCTTACACTACAAGTTCATCACTTACAAGAATAAATAGACAAAATGAGTATGATTTTAATGAGATTTGATGCTTAACGTGATGCTAAGTGCTGGTGTTTAAATCTATGTGATTCTCTTACTTTGCAATATTGATTACATTTAATTATCACGTCAATTAGATTTTTTACCAGAAATCACTAAATATAAAAGGTGAAAATATCTTTAGTAAACCTAGAATGTTCTGTTTTATACAGGATGTAAGGGAAAGGGAATAAAATAAGATGTCCAGCGATAATAGGTAATCAAGAAACTGAATAACTTCGTATAATGGCAAGAAATTTTTAAACCTTTCGAAACTCAATCGATCTGGATAGAATAAGTAGTTCAGTTTCGTATATCTATTATTGATGGATTTCCGATTGCTTTGCCTTTCTCGTTGTATCCCGTTTAAATGATACTTATAGCAACGTATAAGTATCATTATATTTTTATGAAAACTTTGGCGAATGAAAAATTGTAGGTAGATGTTGTTTGCTTACAGCGGGATCCAATCATGGCAAATCCCGAAATTTGTAACAATATTTTATTACTAATATGTACATAATTCGTATATAATTATTATCGAAAATATAACGTTACGAATAAAAATAATATATCGAATGTTTAAACAAAAAAAAATTAAGGAAAGAAACCTAGAAAAATTACAATCTAATTAGTTATTACAGATACATTATAACTACTGGAAAAATCTCTGAGAATAGATAGTAGTAGTTACACAACACTATGTCTACAGTTTGGGGAATAAATTGACTAAGAGTAACGACCATCCACGTTGAATATACTGATAATGCGCCATATAAAACATATACAAGTGATCGCATAGATAGTCTATAATACCTAAATTAATTTGTTTAGAAAAAAGTAGGAAGTGATATTAATTAAATAAAAGGCACGCACATTTTGATTAGATGGTTATTATGAATAATTTAAATAAATAAAACATTTTATATCACTTCTTTTAATTTTAAATTTAAATAAAATGCATCTACCATAAGTCGCTTTTAGCTGCATTATCAGGATAAATCAATAAGATGTCATTCAATTTTAACCAGTACATATTGTGGGCTTAATTTATTTTGGGTTAGCCCCTCTCGCAGGCCTGGCGGGTCGTGCGCCGATGCCTCCTGCGGCCCGTCTCTTGGCAAACAGAGCGTCTAAACCTCTTAGAGGGGGCGCTGGTGTCGTCTCAACGGGTTGGGGCTCAGTTTCTGTCTCACTTTTCTCTTCACTCGTACTGTCTTCTGTAGTCTCCGTCGATGTCTTCTTAGCCGCTTCTGTTGTTGCCTGTAATTTATTAATGTCAATATGAACAATTGTTTGCGTAGAACACTTGTCCATGACGTCATTGTACAGCAAATAATGTATTTTCTGTTGTATTACTCGTATTTATCAGTAATATTTTTATTTCATCAGTAATAGAGATTCAAATTCAAAATCATCTTTATTCAAATAAAATTGTTGACATGCTTTTTTTAAATCGTCATATTTTATGATTCTATTTCTGGGTTCAAAATTATGTTCTTTGCTATAAGAACCCGCAAAAAAACTCCATAATTATTGAATTTTAATGTACAATCCCTAAAATAGCATGATCATTTAGCCCTTGCATGATCGACTAACACTACGCATGTTTGTCATTCTAGAAATTGTATAAAGATATTATAGGCTTTGTTCAATAAGTGCCTGTTAATAATACTTTTAAATTTATTAAAAGGTAGAACATTTAATGACCATTCCTATAAAAGATTATTTTTCTATTAACTTTTTCTAAACGATACTTCAGAAAAGCAAATTTGTATTTGTATCTAGAATTAAGATCATTGAGATCCCTGTTTTTAATAAATAGTCGTAGATCCCTGTATATGTAAAATGTTTTGCTTATATATATTGTGAAGCTATGGTGAAAAAATTTGCTTTACTAAATTTTTCTCTTTAGTGATTCGCGATATCTCATAGAATAAATTGCGTGAATATTACACTAACTGATGCCCGCGACCTTGTCCTCGTAGTATTTGTTGTTCCTTCGATTAATATTTTTAACCTTCTTATTGTAGTGACCTATGTCAGGAAATACTAGACTAAAATTAACAAATGACGTATCGTTCTTGTTATTTGACTTAGGTTAAAATGAATTTACCTAAGTAGGTTGTATACTAAGGTGTATAAATTAAAGCAACTTATATAGTTTAGTACACGACCTACTGTTTATTAACTATCCCATGGGAACTCTTTAATTTTCCGTGATTAAAAGTATCTAAAATATTAAACGGGTATGTAATGTACCACCATGCAAAATTTCATTTAAAACAGTCCAACAGTTTCGAAAATTATCCCGTACAAATAAACAAATAGGCAGAGAAATAAAATATTTGTAAAAGTCTGGATTTGTTCTATTTCACTTCTAACATCCCCCTAACCTGATTTTTAGCATTGTTTTCTATGTACAGACATTCTACCTCTACAGTTTTATTATATAGATTAGATAACGGCATAGAATGGACTACCTCTTCAAGAATTGTTGTAGGCAGGGTATCATTAGCATACCGGTGAATACAATGATGGCAGTTTTTCATAGCTAAAAGCTTTTCAAGTCAATGCAAGTCTAAAAGGCGTTGGTTATCGTACTTTAAATCGTTGGCTTGTTGACTATTACAAATTGCATGAAAAATAAACTACGTAATACCTAATTATGTTATTATGTAGTTTACTTTTATCCTTTACTTAAGGAAACTTATAAGAAACTAGGTCAAACTACTAAAAAGTTGCTAAAATAACAACGTACTTCTGTGGTAGCTAATTTTCTCTTAATCAAAGGATTTGGTCGCCGGGGGGGTGGTGTAGCTGTCACACGAGGTTTGGGCGATGGCGCCACTTGCAGCCGGTTACGTAGTCTCACACCACCGCGAGGATGTTCGGGTGCCGGGGTTGGTGATGAACCCTGTTTGTGATATATAGTTTTTCAATAAATTAGGTATGACACTTCAATATTGACTATTATCAGAGGAATATTTCATAGAAAACATATCTACATATAGGTGTCTTTATTTTACTACTAGCGAAAGATGGTACTTTTGAAATTACAAGATATGGAAATACCTTAAACCTTTGTAATAGCAATGCATGAGGAGCAATATAAGCATTCATGAGTATAAGCGACATTTGCTATTACCCATCAAACAGGCTGTCAGCTTGTCAACCTTTCCAAGTTGCAAAAAAGAGAGAAAAACACCATCTTATAAAATTAAAAAAATATAGTTTTGTAATAGTATTATGTATTACTTTACGGCAAATAACTTTAGTTCCTAATGTAATTAATATTAATGTTCCTTGAATTCACAATTTCGCTGTCATATCTTACTAAAATTTTACTTTTAAAGATAGGCATAGTAACTCTTCGAAAATTAATATGCAAAACTCATCATTAATGCTAATTATTGTAAAATACAAATGCTGTTCAGTTATTCATAAAAACCTAAATCCTTTTATAAACGTATTTTAACTAGTATACTGTTTAACACTATTTTTCGAATTTGGAACTTAGTGTGAAAGAAAGAGACAAAACATTTCAATAGGTAAAGTAGGTACATGAGAGATTTGACGTTTTTATGAAATGATTTTATAAGAAGGTAAGAACCCTCTTATAAAATCTTCTTCTACTTGAAGACTACATATAATAAATTACCTCTGCTTCGGCATCAGTAGCGGGAGCATCAGGGGCTGAGGTTTCCGCTGCGCCTTCAGCGGGCGCTTCAGTGGAGACGGTGACTCCAGGCCTGAGACGAGGGTTGGCACGAATGTTCAACCTCGCACCCGGCCTCAGAGATGCCGGCCTCAAACCAGGACGGACCCGGCTATCGACGAGAGAAAGTTATAAAGCAAGTAATAAGTTAAATAATAAATGACCATATAATTTCTCTCGACTTTATCTAAAGTACGAACTTTCTTTTTGATAAAGATTTTATCACGGCCTCGTTCGGCAAGCGGTTATGAAATAATTAAAAATCATTCTGGGCCAACACTTTTCCACTTGTACCTACACAATTCATGTAATAAATACTTTTACTTCACAATTACATTGTGGATATTCGGAAATTACACAATAAATTTGTTAATGTGATATTCCGGATTCGATATTATGGCAACATTTCTTAAATTTATTGTATTGTAAATATAATTGTAAATGTAATGTATGTAATTAATTATTATACTTTGGTAGCCTGGTTTAATGAAACTATTATTTTGCAGTTCAATGAATACTAAATTCGTAATGTCTTTATAATATATATATATAATGAAATTTTGAGATCGTAGAGGGTAAAACAACATTTACTGGGTTAGCAAGGTTTAAACAGCTAGTTTTATTATAAATTTAGTTTATACTGTATCTTAGAGTTAGACTGTTATGTATTTCAAACTGATTTTTTTTATTTAAAAATACAAATATGATGGTACTTCAGTATCAACAACGCTGTTGAATTAATTTCTTAACGGGAAAAAGTAAGGATCAGGCAACTAAAAGAATAATGAGTATAAAAGTGGATAAATACATCTGAAGACATAAAAAGTTGATGAATTATTAAAAGAAGAATGTTTATGGTGTAACAATCGAGAGGACTGAGTCAAAAATACAGTGGAAAGCAAAAACATGATGTCGTCATCATTGTCATATCAGTCGCTAACTATTCATGTTGAACATAAACCTATCCCATAAAGGGGGTTTGCCAATAGTTGCTATACTTGGCAAGCGGGTTGGAAAATGTAGTTAAGTTATTGTAAATATTTTAAAAGGAACACTGCTGTCTCCACCATTAAGTTCCCTTAGTCGCTTCTTACGATATTCACAGGAAAGGAAAGGGTAACCTATTCTATGCCGGGACCACACAGCAAAAAAATATGATGTATTAACCTTAAACTACTTGCAAGAAGTTAAAAAATCGTTGACAATGATAATAAATCATAACTAATACTGTAAATATGAAAGTGAGTTTGTTTGTTTATTAACTCTTAGCGTTTTAACGGCTTAACTAATCATGATGAAATCGGATACTTAAGTACTATATTGGATAAAAAAGAACATAGTCTGTGATTATATCCCGGCCCCTAAGAAAAGGTAAAAGCTAGTGTGTTAATAAATTAATTCAGCCACGTCAGAGATCTTCGTGTTTAACGAAGAAAACAAAAGATACTCTCCCACAATTAGTAGTATTAATAAATTCATAAAACGAAAATATCTATTTTTTTTTCTTTGACGATATATTACTTAGTTCTAGCTGGAGCTGGAGTAGTCTCAGGGGATTCTCCAGATGAATTAGAGGAGCCATCATCTTCGGCCACGGGTGCAGCAGTGGTAGTGGTCGTTGACGGCCGTCTCAAGCCAGGTCGGAGGCGAGGTCTGGAATATGAATAAAAATATATTGAATTAATCAACTGTAATCTAGTTTGAAATAACCATAATGATGTTTACAACTAATTAATATATTTTCTTTTATGTGTTTAATGTAAAATGTTATTGTGAATATTTTAATTTACCTGATCGGCGCTGGAGCTTCGCTGGCCGCACCAGAGCTACTTGCCGTGTCATCTTGCGCAGGCGCAACGGTAGTAGAACTTGGTCGCGTGCGACCACCGAATAATCCTCTACGTCCAAATGCCTGTGGATACCATCAAATGTCTTATATAATAATAATGTTTATTATACTTATATATTATTTTATTACTTAAAATTTCAACTTTTACAACAGACTGTAAACTACAATCAATAACACGAAGTGATAGATAGGTACTACGTTTCAATATTAAAGAAGTTAAAGTCATGTTTAATATATATTCAAATGTAGTACCTATTCGAACGCTAGACATCTTATAAAGTAAGGAAAAATATATTCCATCTGAGTATCCTAATACTATTTATATCCAACAGATACCATAAATAAATTCGCCCAGCAAGTCGAGTTCGCCACAGCACATCTCAAATAAATTCTCATCAACGTATACCTTTACAAAGTATTATTTAGATAGTATTTAACAATAATACAAACCTTTGGTTGTGTAACCGCTTTCTCTGCTGGTGCGGAGACCGGTGTAGGAGCTTCTGTGGATGCCGTTGTTCTACGAACACCACTTGGCTTGCTGAACCGACCTACGAACATAAGTATGTTTATTGTATACACCTTGAATGATACGCTATTTGTAAGTAATTACGTTTTACTTTTACGTAATTTAAATAGATCGCATTGAAGTGCACTTCAATAAATCTATGCAGAACTTAAATAATAGGTGAGACTTGTATACGGAAAGCCTATTAAAGACAGATTTGTTATTAAATATCCCCTTATTAACAAAAAGTAAAACATCCTACAAATATATTTTAACTGGGGAGAGGGCTTGTTAGTAATGGAGACTAAGGCCTATATTGTTAGCAATATACTCAACCAGGTCGATCTCCCCGTGGTCCCCCCCCCCTGGAAATCATCGTGCTGAATTCAAAGTGTCATCACGATGGACTTACTGACCTGCCTTTTTCATTCTCATCCATCACCCCTCACTGGTGCCCCACCAGCATCATACTAGCGCAGACGGGGTTTATTTATTCATCATTCATTATAAAAAAATAAAACTTATTAATTACAACTCGTAATGAAATATTTATATTAAAAAAAAAAAAAACAGTCGCGAAGTACAAAAATATGTACGTATACTTTTTCTAAAATAATAGTCATAAACTCGATTTATTTAATGTTTTTTATAAGAATTTGGTTTTGCCATTGTGCTATACATTTATATATAAAGTTGTATATAAGTAGATTTAGTAAGTTACATATTTATATAATTCAATAAGTCTACTGTTATACTTATTCTGTACTTGAAATAATATGTTAATATAATAAAAAATCTTTTTACACTATTGTTAATAATTCTCATTACATTTAAAATAATAACAAATCAATACATAAAATCAGTTTAGGTATACAAGTCAATACCTAGTATTTAAGTTCCTACATACATATTTTTTTGATTATTTCGATTACAAAATACCATCAAAATATACTTTTTAACAATAAAACGTAAATTGGCAGCCTAAAAAAGCACTTCACTCGACGCAAACCTGCAAAAATTCGCATTTGCTAACTAGGACTAGACATTAAATGCACAATTTCGCAACAAAACACTCGCTGAGCAACGTAACTAATTAAATATCGCTTTTGCAACGCTGTGTTATGCTTACAACTTAATATGTAATTAAATGTAACTTAGCTTAAACAATAATTATAATTAGTAATATTATAAAATAGTATGGTAATTGTAATTTGCAAAATATGCGATTAATTCATATAACAATATATTACAAACCACTACTGAAGATATTTATTCATTTTTGTTTCTTTTTATATGCACATCATAATTTTGTATAATTATTATGTGTGGACATTACAGACGTCATTTAATACATTTCCCAAATCTTTTAGAGTTAGTTATATTTAAAAAAATATTACACACTTTTTAAATATAGTTTATAACATAATACTGCTTAAGGTTTAACAAACAGTATTACTATATTAGTCATCAATGAGTTATTAAACAGAATTTCAGTTTTAATCCAGACGTTTAAAAGGTTAACTTAATTTAAATAGTTAACCTTTTATTTTAAACAAATATCCAGCAATGGATAAGTAATTATTGTCGTATGAATTAATTACTCAATATATTTGCATGATCTTACCTCTTGCTCTGGTAGATGTTTCTTGCGGTGCTTCAGTGGCTGCAGCAGTAGAAGAAACCTTAGCCCTAGCCCCCACTCGTCCCTTAAACCTCGACGGTCGCGTGGGAGCCGCTGTCGTTGTTGTTGTGGTGGTAGGCGCTGGTGTAGTGGTAGTTGTTGTTGTGGTAGTGGTGGTCGTCGTCGTAGTCGGCGTCGTTGCTTCTTCTGTCGTACTGAGCGCTTCAGTGGTCCATGTTTCATCATCAGTAGTAGTAGTTCCATCAAAACTCAATAAATCATTAGTTGGGTTTATCTCATTATTTAAATTCTCGCCTGCTAAATATGCGTACAGGTCGAGAGCTACCTTTTCCATAGCGGTCATTGTCGTGTATTCAGTAGTGTCCTGTTCGTAAGTGGTCGTTTGTTTGTAACCCTCAGGTAATTTGGAGTCGTCAGTTATTTCTTGGAATTGGATTCCTTCGGTTAAACTGTGACCCTCTCTTGCGGAATCTTTGGCATTAGATGGTTCTTTGGCAGTTGGTGAAGCTTCAGGAATTTCTGTAGTAGTTTTTGATTCAGAAGAATATCTACTTGGCTGTTCCCTATGTGCCGGTATATCTCCAGTCTTAAAACTATCTAAATCAACGAGCTCTGAGCTTGGACGCCTGAAATTATAATAATTATATACAAATTGAATTATATGTACATATGTACTTTCTTAACATATAATTAGTATGACAAAATTATTATAGTAATATTTAAATTTATCATCATCATCATATAAGCCTTTAACCGTCCACTGCTGAACATAAACCTCCCCCTTTGGGGGTATTACCAGTAGTTTGCCACGCTTGGCAAACGGATTGGCAACTGCAGTTAGGCTTTAAAGGTTTTAAGAGGTATGTTTCTGCCCATTTCTCGGCTTCTCTTAGTCGCCTCTTACGACACCCACGGGTAAGAAGGGAGTGGCCTATTCTATGCCGGGACTACACGGTCAGTATTCACTAACATATTATTGAGATATTACCTGATATGAGCCCGGGTTCTACTACGTGTTTGACCAATAGATTCATCAGCTATATTGTCAATTTGTGGGCGCCCACGAGGCTTCACTGTCTCTGAAGAAGTTTCTGGTCCAGTTGTGGTAGCAGTACTAGCAGTTAAGTAACGACCACGAGGAGGAAAACGCGTACTTGATGGTAATCTGATGAATAATTTAAACTCTTGAGAACTCATTTAACTTTGTTTTGTAAAACATTGTATGAAATGTATGATGCACTTACCTATCTTCTTCAATATCTTCTTCAACAGGCGCTGGTGAAACAGTGCGACTTCGTTGACGTCCTCTACTTGTGACAGGTAATACCTCATTCTGTTCTGTAGCAGCAGTAGTGGGTCCAGATCTATCAATAGTACTGTATTTACTCTTGTTTCTGCTTTCTTTGGCTATATGGTTATCAGATTCAACCTTTTGTGGTCCATCATGTGAATTATAGACTGATGGAGCTACTGTCGTCGTTGTTGTCGTTTTATCTTTTCCTTCTTTTTCCTTATCTTTTTTACCACCTTCCTCCTCATCATAATAGTAATAAACGTATTCATATTCATAATCTTGGCCATTGGGTGCTTTTTTTATTTGAATTCGCGAGTTCTGTTCAGATCCTGCTGTTTCCAACTGTACGTTAGAAGTTAATAATCCACTATTGATATCGTCAATAGAGTCAAAATTAATAGGAATATAGTCATATGCTTTCGTGGTTGTAGGAGGTGCAGTAGTCAAAACCGGCTTTTGAGTAGTTGTACCGGGTGCATTGCTTAGTTTTCCAGATTCCGACATCGCTTCGAGTGCTACATTGAGTTTAGGATTAGTTTCCTTTTGTTCTTGAATACTTTCTCTAATTTTAATATCTTCTATTTTTGAAACTGGAATGTCAATTTCTATGGATTCTTTATTTTTTATTCCTTTTTTTAAAAATGATTTTTTATCTTCTTCAATAGCAACTATGCCCTCAGTTGGATGTTTAATTTTTCCGCTGAGTACTTTTTTAATAATTCTTTCATTACCATCCTCAGGCTTGAGATTACGGTGAAGTGGGTGTTTATCAGGAATTTTATGTGATGTCTCGAAATTTCTAAGAGGGGTTTGCTGTCCTGAACTAACTAGCACATATTCTTGTCCGGCCCGCGGTTCTGTGATGATATCTACATCGCCGTACGCTCCGTAGAAGGTGCAGACAAACAAACATCTGTAACAAAGAAAACAAGATTTTAGATCGCTATGTAGATATTAAGTTACGAAAGTTGGCTGTATTGCTGCTTCGAGAGTCAGTGCTCCGTGAGTCAGCAAGACGACATCTGGCTGCGCCTACGGTCCTCGCTATCGCGACTCGAAATAAGGAACTCTGACTCATCTATTGTGTACATTTCGTCACTGCATTCCTAATGTAGTGTAGGTATCAGCATTAACATATCAAGGTATTAGTGGCTGAAAGCGCCACTTGCGAACCGTCATCGATATTTATTCTTTTATATATATGCACTACTTTTGTGGTTTGTTTCCACATGTGTTGCATTTGCATATTATAGACTTATTAATATATTTGACACGGTTGCACCTTGCTGCAAAGAAGTTGTGTGAAAACAGAACTAAGCTAGATGACTGCAAAACAAGCATTGTCGATTGCAATGATTGCAAATGTGATGTGGTCGTGAGAAATTGCCGGCGAAAATCGGAGCGTGGGTGTATTACGCATACTGATTCCACAAGTGCAGATCGATGAGGCAACGCGACATGGCGATCACTTTCGCCTCTGGAGTCACTCTCACGTGACGCCGCCGGACTGCGCTAGTCACGCGTGCCTATTGAACTAAATAATACCTTGTCTATTTTTATCATACTTTATCAAAATCTATATAGCTATTAATCGACCTCTAAATTGTTCGTTTTCTGTGTACAGATTGTGTAAGATATTACACATCACAATTTGAACATACGCTATTAGTTACATAGATTTTATCTGATATTTCGTATACGATCAATTTATTTGTAAATTCACTTTTAAGATATAGCAAGTCAATCTTTGATAGGTATTCATAAAATTAACTTTCTACGCTCGGGTAAACATTTATGCATAGTTAACATATTTTTCATTAGAGCATGTTGAAATAAATAGTTAAGTAGAATAAAAAATAGAAAATAATTAAGTGGCGCGTCATTATAGATATAGATTTTTTTTTCAATATGCAAAGAGTCAATTTCAAAGAGTTGCAAAAAAATCTTAAGCAGCAAAAATTTGTAGGCGATGCTTAAGTAGAAATATTATACTTTCTTACTTAAGTCCTTGTTACTAATAGTATAAAAGGAGCAATGATTCATATCACAATTATTTAATTAACTGCAAACCCAATTACCCGAGTCGGAAGGCGTCAGCTTCCGCACATTTCTTGCGGACCTCATACCGACACGCGGAAACTGATTAAGGAGTAATATGATGCACAACACACGAGAATTGTGCGTAAATATATGGTTTACTTTCGATATTATATGCCTGATTAAACCAATCACACTTTATATCTTCGTCACTATAGTACAACGAGGAAATAATCACGCAAGTGACTTCAAAACCATAACAGGGACGATGATATCTTTTTTAGTCATAATTTTTTTAATCATCATTATTTAGATATTGTCATTCCAAAATTTGATTTAGCAATTTTTGCTACAGACATTAAGACTATAGCAATAGATACAGAAATAGAAAAACAAATATGTACAGCAAAGACAGAAAGAATATTTAAAAATGAACCAATAAAAAGTAATCGTAGGAACAAATGGTTTTTTATAAGCAATTTTGAACTTACCACTGTAAGTGTATTGACAATTGTGTGTATATGTGTAAATATATGTGACCGTGAATGGCAGTTATAAAAAAAATAATAATAATAAACAACAATAAGTATTTTACTAACACTGAAAATATTATGGACGTCGGTATAAGCAACAGCCTTAATAATATTGCACATGAACGTAACAAGACCGGTATACGCCGTACCGTACCTACCGGTTCAATTTCACTAGTCGTAAGGTCGCATCGGCTGCAAGGCTATGTGAGCGTAAGTATCTGAGACCAGCCAATGCAGATATATTCCTACACCCTGATTACCTTCTTCGGAATACATTGTTTTAAAGAAAGCAAACAAAAAGAAGGAAATTCCTTTAAAATATGCCACTTGAAGGACATTAACTAGTTTTTGTTAACTAACATATGTTGCAAATTTTTTTACAATGAGCCTTTCGGCTCGTTGACAATCATTAATGCTCTCAAGGATTAATTGAGGAGACGAACTTTACCACGTCCCCAAAATATGTAGAACAGCATTGCGTGCATCGTAGTGAAACAAAAATATTTTACGCGAATTTATTGTTTTATAATTGCTTAAAGCAATAAAATGACTGACGGGAACCTATTATTAAATCTCTAATCTTTTAGAAAATCACCGCGAAGAGCTTGGTTCTACGTAGAGAGTGCAATTTGTAGACAAAGTTTAGTAAAACAGCACGCTGATTCGAAAGTTTTCACTGGGAAATAGTTTAAGCAATTATACTAATCAATAAATACTGTGGATAGTTTGTATTTATTGTTTATATGAACATACTCGTCTATATGTCTATGTATGTCTAAAGGTAGAAATATATCTTCTATTAATTGCAACTTTTTAAAATTTTTATTTTATTTATTCATAACCGTATTACGATTATTTATTAATATTAATTGACCGTGTGGTCCCAGCATAAAATAGTACATCCATTCCTTTTCCGTGTGTATCGTAAGAAGCGACTAAGAGAGGGCGAGGAATAGGCAGCAGCGTCTCTCTTAAAACATCTCTAATTTCTAACTGCGGTTGCCAATTCGCTTACTAAGTATGGCAACTACTGGCAAAATCCCCCACGGACAGGCTTATGATCAGCAGTAATCAATTAAAAATTGATATAATGATAATGGTTATCTTTATTAGATTTTTTTATGTAATTTAATTTAATTTTTATCAGCTAATTATTCTGCAAAAATTAATAATTGGCAATTGCTGACTTTGCTGCTCTTTTTAATATTTTCTTACATGCTTTAAATACCTATTACATTCGATCAGCAATCATAAATATTAACCGCGATATTTGTTATCTGTGATCTAATTAATAATCAATTTAGAGTATTTAATTATGGAATATTTGTAAGTTTGTCTACGAGAGTACTATCGTAAATGTAATTCTCGTGACTTGATTATATTATATCTAAGTACAACATCCGGACGCTTCCTGTACATAGAATGCTCGTGAAAAAAGAAAACCTATTTATTTTTTAAGTAAAAAACGTGCTTTGAATACTATCTGTTAAGACTATTTGCCTTTCTACAACTTGTACGTTAAAAAAGGATATATGCACAACTTTGTCTTCGCGACCGGATTTATTTGGGTAAAAAGTACCCTATAATTATTATTAATAATATATTTACTATATATAGACCAAACATGGCGGTTGGTTGAGCCGTTTTAAGGTGCCAATACTTATACACATTTGTTATATCTGTTTACATTAATGAAAACAGAGGTGATATTTAGGTAGTATGCTCGTATTTCTTTTCTAATTTCATAAATTATTGAATACAAAAAAACAAGGATTAATATATGGTAGAAATATATCATTACTTACAAGACGCCCCTTTGATCACAAAAAAATACTTTCATAAAAATACTTGAACAAAAATAATATTGAATTCAAGTAAATTTAATTACGAATTTTTTTTTAATACTAATGTTTTATGATTTTACTAAAAATCGAATCAGACCAGTTACCCGACATATCAGATTGGTCAATGTTTAATGGCAATAGCAATAAAATTAGTTCTGCAATTCACATTATTGTGGTTAATAAATAAAAACAGCGAGATCGTATCAAAGGTATATACTGGTACAGTGAAATTAACCTTTGCCATAGTGAAACACACCGAACAAGTTTCGTGTAAAGATTCCTACTAACCGATAATATTTCTCTACGATACATACAATACATAAGAGTGCATATCATGCAGTTTCTATGGTAAGAACATAAAAACGAATTTTCAAATTTTGAATACAGGATGCTGTTATATAGCCTAGATATTATTAGCTTTAAGCTTAATTTATTCATTAGTAAGCCCATATAAAAATTATGTGTAGTTTCTATATTTATAAGTATATTTAGTCATGTTTTGGAAATGTCATATCAGTTCGCCCATCTGATGGAAAGTGATTATAGTCGTAACATGGACAAGATTATTAATCTCATGCATATTGTACTCGGTTCCGATGGTCTTAATAAGTGAATTTTAACTGGACAGAAAGTACTTATTATAAATTATCACTCGAATCTTACATATTCTCATATTAGGGCCGGACGTTTCGTTAATAGAACCTATAACAATAATAATTTATTTTTCAGACTACCTTTTGGTCCATTTTGTTAGTAATAAAATTGACTTCAGGCTAGGTTTAGCAATTGATTAATTAATTCAGATTCCCAAAAACAGTATACATATCTTGTAATCGAGCTCAAAACAAAAAAGTTTAAATATAAAATCAACAATAACAAAATTTTCATTTATCCTCCCCCCACATTTTTCCTCCAAATAAAAATCTCGACTTTTACGTTTTACATTAGTTTTGCTATTACGTATAATAGTTATTATACATATTATGTACTTTACTATGCTTTTCAATTCAATATTCACTACACTGAAAATTGTCTGTGAAATTTCAGGAAAAAAAAATACTTTAAAGACCAAAGTCAATTTGTAATTTAAAACTAAAAATTACGTTTATTAATTTATTTGCACAGTGGAAGACCGCCACTCATACAAATAGTTGGGATGGAACTTTAGTTTGTAGTGGGTTCTGAGATGGTGAAATTCAACAGCAGGTATCAATTTAAATACTCCTCATAATACATCATATTATAAATACATAATTACCAGAAGAAGGCCTCATAAGTACAACCTAATGAACGCACAAGAATTCATGAATAATATTAACCATATTTAATGAGAACAGTAAATGTAAACTGCATTTTTGGGTTCAAATGTCAAGTTATATAGCAAATGACCTTCATATATTTGACTAAGTTTGTGTAACTATTAAGTTTATAAGACTATTACTAGTCTTTAACTGCAACTTTGTATACATGACCAAGATAAAATGTAATCTATATTCTTA